GCTTTGGACTTTCCCATGTGGGGAGGAGACCTGTCAGAGATAGCAAAAATCCATAGGACCAAATACCTCACGAGGACACCTGCTTTGGACATAGACAATCCTTTCCTAGAAGACAAGTAACATGAGGTGGCCTCTTCAAATAGCCTGCACTGCCCAGACCAGTAAGCACATACACTATTTCTCTACCACTCATGGAAACGCATGTTCTCTGCAAAGTCCTGATTTTGCCCATCTCTTCCTTTGGCAAATTTAGGCAGTAATGTCTAGCTGTTGTATGCTTAGAGCATTCATCACCACTGTTAAACTCAGCAGGATCTCAGTCTTATAGTAATCTATTCCTTGAAACTGTCTAGGGGCATAGGCAGTAAGTCTAATTAATTTTGAAATAGAAATTAAAAATAATTTTATATATCTTCTAATTTTGGTTCACTTAGGACCAATGTTCAGTTTCTCCAAATAACCCATGCAAATGTCCACCCAGCACAAAACTGTAGGATATCCCCAAGTTGTGCTGTTTGTAATAACTTTGTGTATTTTAATAAAATAGATGAAATTTCTTATGCATCCTCCTTTGGACGGAGAGCTAGCCTGTCTATGAAGATTCTAATTCACCTGCCTTCAGCTTTGCTTCAGGGAGGCAGCTGCTGCTGCTGTCTCCATCTTTATTCTCTGGATGGAAACAAAGGAAAAGAAGAGGGGAAGTTGAAGGCAAGTATTGGAATCCTCTTGTGTGTGGTTTACTGAGAAAATTGAAGTGATGGGAAAATTTGTCACTGAAATGTTGAATCTCTAAGAATGGCAACAGAACAGCAATGATCAAAACTGATCCCCAAAGGGCTCTGCAAGGGCAGCAAAGTGGAGTTAATTGTTTGGGGCCTCAAGATTTTTTTTAGGTATCGCTGTTTTAAAAAGAAATGTGAAAAGGTAGAAAATAGTAACAAAAAACAAACCAACCCTGTTCCTTCAGAAGGCCAAAAAGGGGTCAAATCAGTGTACTGGTGGTACTTCTCCATCACAGATTAAAGATAGCGTTTGCTGAAGGGGCACAATGAATTTGAGAAAGCAGAAGAGTCATTTTGTGGTCTATCTGTAAACTGAATATAAGAGTAGTTTATGCTCAGAAATACCCAGTTAAGGTGCCAGGGTGCCATCCTACCCTGTTTTCTGCCTACCTTCTGACTAACACAGCTAACTACCTCTCTCTACCCAGTTAGCTGTTCACTTCAGCAACTTATTCCATTTTTCTGGTTTCTGCCTAAATACTTTTGTACAGGGCAACTATGGCAGCAAAAATGCCCCTGAAATTACATTCAAAAGACTTCCTCCCACTCCCCGAAGCTCAGAGTGCCAGTGAGAGCTGATTTCTTTACGGGGGGCAGCTGCATAGGACATACAAAGGTCCAAACCCATCTGGTATTCCTTGTGTGTGACAAACATCTCATATTATAGAAGTCTTAGTCTGTCTGCCCATAAAGCTTTATTCACACTCTGATTGGTTGTCTGAAGAAACCATCAGAGTGTGAGTGTTCGTACAGGAGCTGGCGGCCATGTGATGGATACGGGGGGTCCCGGCTCTGGCCCAAAGCAGCAGGGGGAAAGGCAGGGGGAGAGCAGGCGCAGCCCTGGCCTCGGCCTGAAGTAGCAGAGGGGAAGAGAGAGGAGGGGGGACTGGTCCCAGCCCTGCCCTGGCCCTGGCCTGGAGCAGAGGAGGGGAGGGGGGAAATGGCCCCAGGGGAAGAGGTGGGGACCAACCCTGGCCCGGCTCAAAATGGCGGGGAGCAGGATGAGCAGCTGCGGCCCTGGCCCTGGCCTGGCCCAAATTGGTGGAGGGGAGGGGGGAATGGCCCCAGCCCCAGGGGAAGGGGGGGACTGGCCCAGCCCCAGCCCCAGCTCTGGTCCAAAGCAGCGAGAGGGAACCAGGGAGCAGCCCCGGCCCCATCAGTGGGGCAGACAGGCGGACGCAGGTTTCTGTCCCCACCCATTGTTCTTGAAGGGCAATTTGCTATTGTATGTCATAAAAACTGCATGACTGACTTATGGGGTTCTGATGATTTTTTGAGTTAAACTTCATGGACTCCTGGTTACCTATATTAGCAATTTTCAACCTGAGGCTGTGACCACCTCATATTTACGTTGCCCTTCTTGATTTTGTTCAACCAGAAGGGAGCCCTCTATGAAAGAAGGTTGTATTTCTATGATAACCTACATCAGGAATGGCCAACCTGCAGTAGTGCAAGTGTTAAAGGTGGCATGGGCAGCCTCTATGGCACATGGCAGATCAGGGAGGGAATAGGCAGCACAGCAGCAGATAGGGCAGGGAGCAGAAAGCGGAGGAGCCGATCAGAAGGGGAAGGGGATCAGAGTGGCACTCAGGAATGATGCAGGGTCATTTGTGGCATACACCTGCCAAAAAGTTTGGCTCCCAATGACCTACGTGTTTGTTTAATACTTTGTTTAGTAAACATCAGCCCTCCAAGGTTAAGCAGTCTGTAGATGGCATTCAGCTTAAACATATGCTTCTAAGGATAGCTTTGGGTTTAAGTGTTTACCTAAAATAGTTTATTTGAACACACCAGACTAACGCTGGCTTTGGGAGCTCTGCTGTAAAACAGAGGGAAAAGTTTCCCTTGACAAAGTCATTTTAATCAACTGGTGTAATACACAACAAAAGTTGACCTGTAGTATTTGTTCTTTGTGGCCCTGACCAATGCTCATTGGAATCAATGAAAGTTTAATTAATTTCAACAGTCATTGGATTAGTGTCTTTGTTTTTTCAGCCATACTCTGAGTTTTCATATTTCATATATGTGACATTTTCTACCTTAGCTTTTCCACCTATATTAGAAACCAAAGAAAAAGTAGATGAATACACATTATTGCATGAGTTTTCTATCACTTGCCTGGACCAGTTCCTTTGTAACCAACATTAGTTGGACCTCAGTTTATTTATTCTGCCATTAGCTAATTCTCAGTTAACAAGTGCAGTGACACATGCAATCTACTTGGGCCAGGTTGAGACCACGTGACTTATGAGGCAAGGCTGAGGGAACTGATCTTATTTAGCATAATAGCTGCACGGTTTGCTTCTGGGTTCGCTGCCGAGCACGTGGAGGCCCCCTGCACTCCTGTGGGACGCTCCATGTGCCCCAGCATCATCATGTTCACCAGCTGCGCCTGCTACCTCAAGGTACATAGAAAAAACTTTTAAAGCTGTGTCTGTGTCCAAATCGCTGATTTTCCAAATCAGCATTGAATCTTCAGATTTGGATTCGACCGAATCAAATCAGGGAGAGTAATCTGAATCAATGAATCAAATCACTGTCCCTGATTTGGGCAGAATCCAAATTGAATAGGGCACTCTTCACACACCCCTAGTGACCATCTCTTTTTTTTGTGTTTGCAGCACTACTACAGTGCTTCTGGTCCATGAGTGGGATTTCCTGATACTATGATAATACAAATAAGTAATAATAGTGTTAAGTCCACTTGTGAGTGGTCTCACTGAAGTCAATGAGACTCTGCGTGTGCTTAAAGGTATGACATTGTAAGTACTTCGCAGAATAAAGGTTTAAAGGTGTGAAGCTAAACAGCGTTTATGTGGTTACTTGATCACTGGTCTTTAGCAAGGGATCCAGCACATTAGGGATCTAGTACTAAAGCATGTCTCTAATTCTTTGTGCATTGGACAGAGATGCAAAATGAGGGACATGAACGTTATTTATGCAGGAACTTTCAGTTCTCCCAGATTCCTTCCTACAGTGAAAAATGGCTGTTAAACAATTTTTTATTTTTCAACAATAAAAGAAAGGGAACTACAGTTTCATACAGAATATGTCGCCTTGTCTAGATTCCAAGACTGCCAGCATCTCTGTAGTACTTGAGTACTTTCCAGAAGTAGCTAAAAAGATGTGGCTATCGTCTTGCACGTGGGATTCATTCTTTCTCATCTTCTGTGGCCCCAGGTGGGTGGGAATTTGTTTTGGTTATTTTTTTCCAAGATCCCTTCAGGCATGTGCAGGACTGGATCGGGGGGGGGAGGGTGCAGTTGTACCCTCCTCTTTGTTTCCAGGTTCACCCAAGATTTAAAACCAACTTGACTTCATGGCTTATTATCATATGGCTGAAGGCAAACCAAACTCAGGGGCATCTGAATCCCAAGCTTCTGGGCTTGGGCTTGCACATGGGATGCCCAGCAAAGGATTTGGGAGCATCTGAAGCTCCAGGCGGGGTGGAGGATGTTTGCCGGCAGTAGGGCCACATCTGGTTCTTGAATGACTCATGGATTTGGGATTGACTTGGATGCTTTGACTTGGAACATGAAAATTTTTTGTTAACTCCCCCCCCCCCACCAATTTCTTAAACTTTTCTTGGTCCTATCACATGTATACAGTGGTTTGAATAGGGTCCATCCTGCCTCAGGCGAAGGGTTGGATTAGACGACCCCTGGAAGTCCCTTCTAGCCCGACTTCTCTGATCCTAGGATTCATTCCATAGATGTTAATAACTCTCTCTCCTTTTCAATGGTCTTAATGTTCCACTAATTGAGCTATCCTTTCTCCTGCCATTTTGCTGTCCCTTAGCTGCTCCTGGAGTACTCATCTACCTATTTCACCCCCTGCTTTTAATGCTAGGGAAAAAACTTGGAAGGTATGGAAACCTTAACTCAGGGGAACATTAATTGAAACATGAAAATAACTTCCACAAACTTATGCACAAAGGGGCACAGGGGGAGGTTTGTTTAGCTTTAGGCGCAGGCGTTTGGTGCGGTGCCTGGGACCAGCCCTTAAGAAAGGTGCTGCAGGGGCAATGGCCTGTGAATAAATCTCGCCGCGCGCCAAGCTAGGCGGTGACCCCCACCCGGAAGCGCGAATCTGCCGAGCCTCGATTTGGCTTCTAGTTCCTCCAAAGAGGAGCGCGGGGTATGGGATTCCGCCCGCCCCCTTCATTTCCCGCCAGCTCAGACAGACCCGGAACTAGTACTGGGGCTGAAAGGGGGGGAGGTGTAACGGATGGCGGAAGTGACGTCGGGCGGGGCGGAGCGCCCGGCAGATTTGAAAAGGAAGCGTCAGGCGTCGCGCGAGCCCCCGCGGGGCAGGAGGTGAGCGGGGCTGGCAGACAGGGAGGGTAGCCAGGTGGGGGAGAAGGGATACAGTCCCCGCTGACTGGTTCCCCTCGGCTGCTTGTCCCGCCCGCAGAGCGGCAGGATGGACCTGACCTTTCCCCGCTACGGCCCCAACGACCTCCTCACGCATCTCCGCAACCAGGTGCTGGCCGGCGCCGAGGCCAAGAACCTCGTCAAGAGCGACCTGTTCCCCAGCCCCAAGGTGAGGTGGGGCGGGGAGCCCCTGCCTGGGCCGCACCAGGGTCTGTGCCGTGGCGACGCGGGCTGGTGTTTACAAGGGGCTCGGCAGGACGTGCCGGGCTGGGGGGCGGGGAGCAGTGTTTGCTGGAGTGTTGGAGGACTGCTCATTGCTGTAGGAGCCTGCTGAAGCTGCCGTGCCAGGCGCTGGGGAGCAGGGCTCAGAGTTGGCTCGGGCAACTTTCATGGCTAAGCAACATCAAAGCCTGCAAAACACTGGTCGTGCTGAGAAGGAAGGGGAGGTTCGGTGGTCTACTCTGACTGGTGGTGGGGAGCAAGGCAGAGGCTGTATACAGCCGGGGAGACCCTACTGAGCACTGGAGTGAGGGACACAGCCTCTGCATCAGGGCTTTCTACACCTTAAATGCTGGTGGCTGCATGGGAGAGAGGAGCAGTGGTGGGGAGAGAAAACCTGGTCAGGCAGGGTTTGCTCTCCCTTTCAGCATCCCCTCTCTGCTCTGCCCCTGTGTGACACGGGGCTAGTGGGAATACACCAGTTGATTTTGGGGAGGTGACTAAAGAGAAAATGGGGACGGGAGTGATGTTATAGGTTCAAAACAAGTGCACCACGGGGAGATGCTGAGAAGAGTACTCGACAAGGTGGACCTATGACCTGACCCAGTAAATGGCAATTCTTACGTTTTTATGAGTTAATCCTCATCTGAAATGGTGTAATTTTGATATGCTCGGAGGGTATTTAACACGAGTTAATGAGCTTCAATGTGTGGACACTCCCATTTTAAGTGCCCTTAGTATGGTCTAAGTGTAATGCTTGCCTTCACTCTAAATGAGTGACGTGGTGTTTTGGTTATGGTTGGAGCATTGTAGCTGTGGTGGTCCAGGAGATGCCTAAGAAGTGAGGGGTTTTTCCGGTATCTTTTATTGGACCAAGTATGTGACTGGGATTGCTGAGGAAGCTTTAAGGTATTGAGGAACCTGAGTAAGAGCATCTGATGCCCAAAAACTTGTCCAGCAGCTCCCTTGGCTCTATGGTTGGCCCAGTCAAACTCCTTGCCTCTCAGTGGCTTTATGTAGGGCTCCTTGTCAGAGCAGGCTGCCAAATCATCACTTAAATTCTCGGCATGACAAGTGTTTTGCAGATTTTGATGTCACTCGGGCTTGAAAATTCTGTTAGTAAAATTGCCTAAGTTATAACTGAACAATTACAAACATGATTGGGCTGTAGGTGTGTAGATTAAGATTACACTTGGGTGGTCTGGTATTGCTTGTTGCAGTTACGTGAGAGAGGTTTCAGTGCAAATATGTGGGTATTCTTCATGCAATGAAATGAATCTTGTGCTAAAGGCAGAACATCACTAGTTAACAATGTATTCTGTGTTCTATAAATAACTGGGAAGGCTAGGTACTGATGGTCTACCCTTTCTTAAATTAGTGAGTCACTTGGTGTTAGTCAAACTTCTAATTACCAGGAGTATAAATGTTCTTTCTTCAACATGTAGCCTGAAGTATTGCACATGATTTTCATGAGAGTCCTGCAGAACGTATATGGGATTCGTCTTGAGCACTTCTACATGGTAAGTGTATGGTGGTGTATGCACCTGAGCGCAAAAAAAAAAATGTGAAAAGGAAGCTTGTTTCTTGAATTATGGTGAATGACAGTGATTAAGATGTTGGCCTCTGTAGTTTAACTGAGTTCATTCCGTTAGCTTAGCTACAATGAAGCTGATGCTCTGTTACATTTGAATGAAAGAATGTAATGCAGGTGCTTAAAAATACTCTAATATCCCTTGCAAATGTTAAGGGTGTGCCACATTAATTTGAAGTAAGCTTCAATTTGCTTATTTACAGGTTTGTACTTCTGTTTAGGCCCTGTTCTAATCTGAAATGTTTGTATGCTATAATCTATTACTTCATTTGAGTACTCTCACTTTTCCTAACCTCTGTTATTAGTCTACCATAGTTGATGGCATTTCTTTCAATCCTCCTAAAGCAGAGGTGGGCAGAATATGGCTTGTGGACCAGACCTGGCCTGCCAAGGGATTTTGTCCAGCCTGTAGTGGGTCCCTTGGTACCACTTGGCCCAGGCTCGGGGCGTGCAGTAGGGCCAGGGTGGCACAGCACCTGGATTCACTTGCTGGCATCCTTGGAGGCAGTGGCTCCTTCTGGCTGCTGCAGCCACTGACCCCACCCCTGCTCCTGCTGCCCAGTCACCCCTTCTTATCTGCCCCACACCCACTGCTGAAGGCGGGATCTGTGCAGGTAGGGCACGCTCTGCTGGCTGAATGGTTTGGAGCTGCAGGTGGGTGTGGAGCGGTGTCTGGGAGTGGAATGGGCAGGCAGGGCAGGATCATGGGGTGATGATGGTGCAGGATCAGGGAAGAGCCATGATCTGCTGCCCGCATATCCCTGCAACAGGAGCCAGTTCTGTGGGCAGGTGTGTGCCAGGAGTTGATCATGGCTCTGTCCCAGGCCCTGGGTTCATCTGCCTATCTTGCTCCAGGCCACTGCTCCCCACCCACCTGCAGCTCCATCCTGTCCACCCAGTCGTGTGCCCTTCCCATGCTGGTCGTGGCCAGTCACCATGGAGACCTCGGGATCATGGGATGGTGACAGTGCGGGGCTGGGCCTGGGGCAGAGCCATGATCTGCTCCCTGCATGCCTGTGCCTGCGGAACTGGCATCTATCATAGGCGCATGTGGGGAGTGCATCGTGGCTGTGCCCTGGGTCCTGGCCCTGCACTGTCACAGACCCGTGATCCCACCCTGCCTGCCTGTCCTGTTCGCGGATGCTGCTTCCTGCTCACCTGTGGCCCCATCCCAGCCACTCTGCTGAGCATGCAGCAGAGCTCTGGAGTTTTGTTGGGGTGGGGGGTGCTGACCTGGCCTGTAAACAGCTCACAAAAACTCCCTAAGTGGCCCTCAGGCCCAAATAATTGCCCACCCCTGTTCTAAAGCATTCAGGAGGTGATGTGGTTGTTTTTTTTTCTTTTGTAAAATTTTAAATTGTGTGTAAATAGTTCTTGCTTCCAATACATTAACTAGGCAAGCTTTCATTCATTGTTTTAATTTTGCAACTCTAGAGAGATGGTATCATAGACCCATGATACTGTACCCCCTCCAGTCTCACTGCTTGATTTTCAGCATTTTGCTGCAGGAGGCACAAGGGAAAGAGAACCACAGTTATTGACTCTTAAAGTTGTCTCTTTGGGGATACAGATCACTAATTGATATGACTATCACATGTGAATGATCTCCGTAGGAAAAAGAAATGCCTGTATGTTCCACTCCTTGTTTTTATTTTTTATTTTTTTATTGCCTCTTTTTTTTTTTTTTTTCAGATGCCAGTCACTGTTGAAATAATATATCCACAGATTTTGGAAGGCTTCCTACCTGTTTGTAATCTGTACATTCATATGTAAGTATAATAAATTGATTTTGAATGCTGTATACCAGGGGTGATAAATTCAGGACATGTGAAGTAATGTCTTCTGGTGTCTGCAACTGATAGAGGGGGCAGGGCAAGTGGAGATGGGGCTTGGTGTCTGCTGCTTAAATTTGGGGGACAGAACCCCATTGGGCATGTGTGTCAATGACAAGGGATGAGCCATGGCTGTGTTAAGCACTGCCACTTGCCCTAGCAGATGAACCAAAGGCAGTCTAATGCAGTAAGCACTTCAGTAGATTAGGAACCTCTTCAGCCATAACATTTATGTAAATTTGTGATGGTTTAGCTGTACGTAATTGTGATGCAGGAGGTTTGGATTAACATTGTACTGTGGTGCCATGCAAATGAACTGAGAATTGCATGAGGCTTATTAGATATGGAGGTGGTTTTAGAGTGCCAGTCACGTAAGCCTGATGCCCCAACCCTGATGCCTGGTGGAGCCACTGCAATTTCAGATGCTGTGCTCTGTTCTAGTTGCAGTGGAAGAGCTGACTTTATGTAAAGCATTCCAATTTCTCTGTTTTAGTGGCTTAGGGCTAATTCACTGAACAGTATTAAACCTTTTGGAAGGCTGCTGGCGAAAAAATGTAAGGGTACCCTGTTGAAATAGAAAGAATGGCAAGAAGACAGCCCACAACTGATCACATGAATGCACTCTTTACTGTGAGGGGTGTTTCAGAGGAAATGCAATAAATGACCAGTTGAAACCTACAATTTACTAAAGATTTATTCATCCAAAAAGTTACTTTGAAAACGTTGAGAAATTTACTTTGCAGCCTTAATAGTATCTGCTTCCTTATGTGAACTTGTTACCATATGGTAGTGGTGTTCAAGCGTTTGGCTCCATGGGCCAGATGTGTGGGATTAGTTTTTAGGCTGGATTGAGTCCCATGCACAAGGATTGGGCCATGAGGCCTGGCACCCCCCTCTCTTGGCCCCCCACAGTGGGATTGGGTCCTGAGGCCCAGTGCTGCTTCTGCATGCTGGGATTGGGACCTGGTACTGCCCCTTCTGGGCCCTCTGCCCTGGGATTTGTTGCCTGATTCAGTGCATGGGGCTTGGGACTCCCCATGGGTCTGGAAATTTGGCAGCAGAGGGATGATCCCCTACTGTCAAATTTCTGGATCTATGGGAGCCCCATGAGCCAAATGGCACAGCACTGCGGGTTGGGGGTTAAGTATCCCTGCCATATGGCATTTGGTAGCATAAGTGGATGAGATGTCTTGTATACCAGTCTTTGAAGGCAATTTTGGCATAAAACAGAATTTAGAAATAATTGCAGAAAAATTAAAGATTAGTGAAGTTCAATGGAATGCAAAGTCCGTTAATCCTATCTGGTAGGCTAGTACAAGTGTGGCCAACCTGTGGCATGTGTGCCACAAATGCCATAGGCAGCATCTGTGTGTGGCATCCTGCAGACCAGGGAGGGAGCTGGGAATACAAGGACAGACAGGGAAGGGGCAGAAAGCAGAGCAAGAGATTAGGCAGGGGAAAGGGATTGGAGTGGCACTCAAGGAGGGTGCAGGGCTTACTTTTTTTCATGCCTGCCAAAAAGATTGACCCCCACTGAGCTAATACAAAATGCTTTCCAGATCTGTTGATTACTGAAGTTGATGTTGTGCATCAGTTCATGGAGCTTGTACTGGAAAACCCTTTTCATATTTTGCTTCATTAATAAGCAATAAATCCAGGGGCATAAAGGCTGCATAAAACTGCATATTTTGTGTATGTACAGCGTGTTGCCAGAGGACAAACTTAACTGAAAGCTTGCCCACAGCAGAAGATGTTAGAACACTTAAATTAACATTGCTGAAACTTACTATTTTTAATGAAGTTTTTCTTTGATCTGGAATTATTCAGTGTACGAATTCTACCAACTAAAATGGGGATGGTACCATAATTATTTGTTTGTTCAAATATCTACTTAGACAAAACTAATGTCTTACAGGAAGGAGGTTAATAGCACTGATTAAAAATGTGTTGGTAATTGGATAGTTTTGTGTGTTGGGGGAAAAAACAACTTAATTAAAAAAAAATCCGTAAGCAGGATATTGTAACAGATCAAGATCCATAATATTAGTTTGTCTTTGCTATACAGTTTAAACATCAGCTTATTTTGTCAGTATTGTAGTTGCTTCAAGAGTGCCCATGCCTATATGTTCTGGTTCTGGCACTGTGGCACAAAACTGAAGTCGAATACCTCTGAATATATATATAGGGCAAAGATACTGTAATTGTCTTTTGAATTAAGCTTGTTCACAGAACCAGTATATTTTTCTCCACAGGGGGCGTTTTCTTCCCATCTGTCGTGTTAATGACTTTCAGATCGCTGATATCATAAATCCAAGTAAGCAAGCATCTCTTAACTCACCCATGGCTTTACATACTCATGTGATGTCTAAACCAATTTTGTAAAATACCTTCAAAGACTCTTGGGATTTTTCTTCTGTTAGGAAATGTCAAATTGTGTTTGTGAAGTTTTGTGGTGAAACCATCAAATGCCCTCTCTTGCAAACCCTGGTGACAAGGCTAGCCCCAGTGAGCAGTTATCTATCCTTGGGATACCTCAGCCAGTCCAGTTAATATTCATTTATCTCGGATGCTTTCTGAAACTGGCCTGCTAATAAACTGTGATAATTTTTGCAGTTGTCTTTTAATGTTTATTATTACCCTGAAATGAAAAGAAATTACAAAAATAATAATGATTAGTAGGTGACAATGTTTTTAGATAATTTCTGAATGTTTCTATTTTCTCCTAGACATTGAGTGTCTTGCCTTTTATTCTCTTTACTCAGTTCAAATAGAACTTTAGAAAGTTTCATGCACTTCAGGACTGATCTTTGGATGTTTTGAGTAGTCTGCTGGAATCCCCTTTACGGCTGTCCCCAGGGTTTAGTACAAGATATTTATATGGTTAAGAGACCCTTTTTGCCTCCATTTTTCCTCTTTACCAGTTCTTCTGTACCAACTTGTACATAGCTTTTAAGCAAATGGCTGTTTTCTAGTTATTATATCCAGTTTATACTTTTTGTTAAACTGTATGAGGTCCTTGAGACTGCATGTAGTCGCATCAAACTCAATGCTTTATGTGGTTTCCTCTAAGATCAAGTGTAGGTTGCAGGAATGTTTTTTTTTCCCCACCTCTAGTTACTGATAAGGTAACAACTACAAGGTTTGGCATAGGTTTGTTTAATTTTTTGAGAAATGTGGCTTAATCACATTGCTTTTAATGCCATTTCACCTGTAGAAATTTATTTTTTATAAATGCATTTCAGTAATACATATTTTTAAAATAACAGAAAAATGCTATTGGAGTTATACAAAACATTCTCCTCTTGGACAATGTGGGTAGTCAGTCTCAGAACTTCCTTTGAAGTAATAGTACATTTTTAACAAAAACCCAGTGGTATCTTTAACTTGGTACTTTTTTATCTTCCATCTTTGCTCTTATTTAGCTGTCTGAATTATGCTGTGTTCAGTTTTTTTCAATTAATCATTGTGCAAATGGAAATTTAAAACACTTGCTATTCTTTGCTGTTTCTTTTTAGAAGCAAAGCGGACAGCTCGCTTCCTCAGTGCTATTCTCAACTTCATTCACTTCCAAGGATCGTGTCGTAATGCCTACCTGGAATTACAATGGACATACGTAAGATTTAGTATGGTTTATGGCAGTGGTTCTCATCCTTTTTCTTACCAGGACCCATTTGCAAAGGTTCATGGCCTGTCCCAATCCACACTCCCCAGCTGGGCTGGTGCACGACCCATATTTCCCAAGCCCCCTCTCCCCACTCCCAGCCGTGCTGGTGTCCCTCATGCCCAGTCTGCAGCCAGCTGCCCCCTTCCTGCTCAGGCCAAAGTGTGGTGGCTGCGGTGGCTCCAATTCATGTGGGTGGCATTAGAGCGAGTCCAGCCCCAGCACGGGTTGGTAGGAAGTAGGAGGGGAGGCCTGTGGCAGCCTGTACCCTGGGCTGGGGCTGCCACGCTGCACCAGGCAGCCTGATCACAGCCCCTCCCACCCCCAGATCAGCGTCTCTTGGCTGTCCTGCCCCTGCAAGTACCCAGCCTGACCTCGCAGCTCTCCCCTGCTCCCTACCCCTGCTGCAAGGGGCAGGTGCCTTCCCACCACCTCTCTGCCTTTCTGCAGTCTTGGTGCTTTCCTGGGATCAGTGTTTCTCAAACTGTGGCTTGTAACCCTCTGAAATCTTGCAACCCACTTTTGGGTCAGGACCCACAGGTTGAGAAATGCTGGTTTATGTTACAGCTCGGATATGTCCTTCAAAAATATATTGATTTATGCCTGGAAGTAGGAAGGATGAGAGATTCTGTTGTAGAAGTGTACTAGACTCATCTATGTATATTACAGCATTTTGTGCTTCTATATAATAGTTTTTGGAATAAATTCCAGGTGACTCTTACCTACATTAAGAGTGTAGACAAGAGTATAAGGCAGTGTATAAGGAGTTAATTGAATAATGGTAAGTTTTATTGTGCCAATGAGCTGTAGGTATCAAGCAAGTGTATGAATAAGTGGCATCGAAGACATTGCTGGAGTTCTCTTGAGGAACCTTGTCCATTAGGATTTTTATCCATTTTCAGCCCAGTTAAGCATGTCATGGTGTCTGGAATAAGTGGTTGTATAAAGAGCAGTTTGATCATGGCTTCTGAGGTCTTGTCACTATGGTGCGCTTTTTTCTATGTGCGGATGCAGAGTGCTTAAAGTAGCAAGGTATGCTTTTGACCTGTAGAAGGTGAAAAGCTATTGCAGAACTGTCCAGCTTATAAGTAGGTGGGGGCCAAACAATGCTTGGAAACAGCAAGGCAAGCTGTGGGCCTCCTAGGCTGCACACCATGCCCCCCTCTCCACCACTACACACCCACATGGGTACCCCCTC